CGCCCGCCTGCCGCCCGCAGCCGGGACTGCCCCATCTTCTACATGCGCAAGAAGGTGCGCAAGGACCTGGAGGACCAGGAGCAGCTTCTGAGGCGCTTCGGGCCCCCTGGCCCCGAGGCCTGGTGACCCCTGACCTCCGCAGGCTTCCCAGGAGGGCCCTGCTGGGGGCGGGGGGAGGGGAGACCGGTGGAGAACTAATAAAGTTTGGACCTTTTGTTACCTGGTGCTTTGTGTTTGGTGTCTGGGGGGGACAAAGTCCACGGTCAGGCCCTGACCCCCAGGTCCCCACTGGACGGCCTCCCCCTGTGCAGGGCACCTGGGCTCCCGCCCCGCTGCCAGCCCTCACAGGCCAGGCCTGCCTCAGTCTCCCCCCAGAGCCTGTGTGGGCATCTCTGGGCACCCACTCCCCTGCCGACAGCTCCGCTCTGCCCAGCGCACCCTCCCTGCGGCAGCTGGCCCTCCAGGTGCTGGCCCGTTTCCTCCAGGCCTGGGGCAGCCCCAGCTCGCGGGCTCCCACTCCCCACGACCCAGGGGACCCCCCTCCGTGTCACACACCCACGATGTTTCCACCTTAGGGTCCTCATCCGCATTGGGCCTGGGTTTTCCTCAGGGACACGCCCCCCTGCTTTGACCCCCACTTCACTGACCAAGGACCCCTTTTAGGGTCCCCCAAATCCAGCTCCTCTCCTCTCTACCTCTCAGGGTTACCCCCGCTCCCAACTGCGGGGATCCCCAAATCCAGCCGGCTCCCGGGCCCGCCCTCCCCACCACGTGACCCAGAGGTTGTGCAATCCGGCCCCCTCCCCTGGCCCCCTCCCTGAGGGGATTTTCCAGGAGGGCTGAGCTCAGGCACCCCTGCCCCCAGGGGGCCGGGCCAAGGTATAAATAGGGGTGGCGGCTGCCACCGGCAGTGAACACGGCCCGGCACCGCCATGCTCGCCCTGGAGGCTGCACAGTGAGTGGGGCCCCTGAACCTGCACACGGGACCCCGGTCCCCCCACCCCCTGCCCCTCTGCCAGGCTTCCCCCAGCGGTGGTCTCGGCTGTCAGCCCCACTGGGGGGGTGTCCACGCTCACTCCCGCCCCTCTGGGTCTCTCTTCCCTCCCACCTCTGATTCTCTCCTCCATCCTCCTCCTGTCTCCCCCTGAACCCCACGGACCTCTCCTGGGAGGCTGGCCTCCACCCACCCCACCCACCCACTCCCCTCCGACATCTCCAGGGCCCTCCACCCTGTCCCCCGGGTCCCCCACTTTCTGTGTCTGCTCTCGCTGTGTTCTGCCTCTGCCTTATGTTTCGGGGTCTCCTTTGCCTCTCGCTCCCTCTGTCTCAGCCTCTTTCCAATTCTCTGTCCACCTGTCTTACTTCTCCTGTCCCCCATCTCTCCCCCACCCCATCCCTCTGTCTCCGGGGCTCAGTAAATACCTCTGCATCTGAGCGCGGACGGCCCCATACCTCTCCCCCTTCCCCGCTCTCACTCGCCCTCGCTGGGTCTCTGCGTCTCCCCGTCGCTCCCCTGGTCCAAGGTGGACCCATTAGACAGACTGGCTAAGGGAGGCCCCTCCCAGCCCCCACCCGCCCGCGGGCACCCACACCTCCCTGGGGACTTTCTCTCCCTCACTTTCCCTACCCCCCCCCCAGCCCCTGCCTATGCAAATCCCAGGGGACGGGGGACATTTGCCTGGCTCCCACCCCCACTTCCTGCCCCGGTGAGGGAGTGGGGGGCTGGTCTCCCACACGAACACACAGCAGACGGCTGCGGTGGTCACAGCTGCAGCCGCCTCTCCCCCACGGCCTCCCAACCACTGCGAGATTCAGGTGGCTGCAGGCACCCTGACATGCCCCTGTGTCTCTCCCCCTCCAGGCTCGACGGGCCCCACTTCAGCTGTCTGGTGAGTTGAGGCCCTGGGGGCCAGGGCAGGGCGGAGGGGGGGACCCATATGGCCTACTGTGACCTCCCTGCCTCAGTTTCCTTCTCTGCTCCTTCCTGTCACTGTCTTTTTTACTCTCTCTCAGTGTCTCCCGCCACCACCCTCCAGCCACTCATCACAGATGTCTCTCCAATGTCTCTCTCCTCTCGGGCTCCAGGCGTGGGTTTGTGTGTGTGTTGGGGGTGGGCGGGGGGCGGGGGGTGTTCTTTGTATCTTTGCCTTTCTATCTATCTCATTCTCTGTCCAGCCCACAGTCAGCACCTCTATTCCTTCCTCTTCCCTTCTCTGCTTTATATTTTCAAAAATGTAGGCTGTAATAGATGAGACACACGATACTCGACCTAAAACCCGCAGTCCAGTCCGAGAAATAAAGCCTTACTCATGGCCCCAAAAGACACCCCCTCCGGGGCCACTCCCTCCCCCACATGACGAGTTTTGCTTTTTTAAGGCATAACTTATGTCGGGCAAATGACACATCTTGTGTGCAGCGCAGTGAGGGCTGACCCGGGCACACACCTGCGCGACCACTAACCAGCCGAGACGCGCGCTCCGTCACCCGGGAATACCCCGCGGGCCTTCTCCTGCAATACCCCCTCCGACGTTTCCACCACAAATTCGTTTTGCCTGGTTTTGAACTTTCCATAGAGTGAATCATAGAGTGTGCCCTTTGGGGTCTGGCCTCCTTCGCTCAACATCAAGTGCGTGTCAGGCGTCGGCTTTTTCCTTGCTGTATAGTACTCCACCCCCCACCACCTCGTGTCCATTCCCCCGTCCATGTCCACTGGGGCTGTCTCCCCTTTGGCACTTTTCATGAGGCTGCTCTGGGTATTCCTGGGCAAGGCTGTTTAGTGGACAGACGTTTTCCTGGGTAAATCCAGGCGTGAGGTTGCTGGCATGGGGATGGTCTATCTCAGTGATGGCGAACCTTTTGAGTTCGGCGTGTCAGCATTTTGAAAAACCCTAACTTAACTCTGGTGCCGTGTCACATAGAGAAATTTTTTGATCTTTGCAACCATAGTAAAACAAAGACTTATATTTTTGATATTTATTGTATATATTTAAATGCCATTTAACAAAGAAAAATCAACCCAAAAAAATGAGTTCGCGTGTCATAGGTTCGCCATCACTGGTCTACCTCCTGCTTTGGTCTTGAATTGCTAAAGCGAGACGATTCTTGAGATGAATGGAAGCAATGACGCGGAGGTGGGTAAAGGCAGAAGAACTCCCACCCTTCACCCCGCCACGCAGGCAGACGAGGCCGGGGAATTCTCGTGACGATGACGGAGCACCGCGAGGCGAGGGGCTCCTGGCGGCCCACGGCTCAGCAGGAGCGGCTGCGCTCTCGTTCTCGGCGTGTCTCTCTCCGGGTCTTCGTGCCTCTGCCGTGTTGTGTCTGTCTCCTCTCTCGGTATCTCTGTGCGTCTCTCTCTCTTTGCCCGTCTCTGGCGCCAGGTCTCTGTCTGTCTGCCTCTTTCTCTCTCTGTGCTTCTCTCTCTTTGAGTCCCCGTGTCTGTGGGATTGACCGTTAGCAGCTTTCTCTGTCTGGGCCTCTCCCCTCCTCTCCCCCCCTCCTCCTGCCCCTGTGGACGTCTCCCTGCTGGTCCAGGGTGGGGGTGGGGGCTCCTCACAGCCCGCTGACCCCTCCCCCCCCTCCCCCCAGCAGTACCCAGATGGCATCTTCTACGACTTGGACAGCTGCAAGCACCCCGGCTACCCCGACTCAGAGGGGGCTCCTGGTGAGTGACCCCAGCCCAGACCCCTCCCACACGCCCCTTGGGCCCATTTCACAGATGGGGAGCTGAGGCCCAGGGGGGTGGTCCCATAGCTCAGCAGGGCGAGGTCAGCCCAGGCCCTCAGCCTCCTCCCTTTCCTCCCTGGCCACTCGCCCATGCAAATCCCGGGGTCAGCCATTTGCATGGCCCACAATGGCCCCTCTGTGCTGGCGCTTCCAGTGGGAGGGGGCCAAGGCCACACCCCCGGCTTCTGACTCAGTGCCCTTCCCCCAGACTCCCTGTGGGGCTGGACGGAGGTCCCAGCTGTGCCCGCCACCTCCTATGAAGCCTTCGACCCAGCCGCGGCCACCTTCAGCCACCCCCAGGACGCCCAGCTCTGTTATGGGCCCTCCTCGACCTACAGCCCTGTGGGCAGCCTCAACCCAGCTGCCAGCCTGGAGGCCCCGGGGCCTGGCTTCCCAGCGTACCCCACGGAGGACTTCGCCTGCCAGGTGAGGGGCAGGGGGATCACTGACACCCCCATCGTGTGATTGAGGTTTGGGGGGAGGGGGGACGGGAGGCTCATTCCTTTGAGGCTGAGCGCTGTCATTACTGCAAAACCAGTGACAGAGGGAGCCAGGGGGCAGCACAGGTGCTGTTATCCGTGTGGCGAGGGCTTTCATGGAGGTGGCCGGGCGTCCCCTGGCCACGCCATGGCCGTCTGAGCCGACCCAGGCTGTAAACAGAGTGGGGAGGGCCCAGGAGGAGGAGCCGAGGGAGGGAGAGCAGGGGCCCCCCGGCGGGACGGCAGGTGACCCTGACCTTCCGCAGACCCTGGGCCCCCCGGCGTACGCCCCGTACCCCAGCCCCGTGCTGTCGGAAGAGGAGGACCTCTTGCTGGACAACCCCGCCCTGGAGGTCTCGGACAGCGAGTCGGACGAGGCCCTCATGGCTGGCCCTGAGGGCGGGGCATCCGAGGCAGGTAAGTGGGAGCAGGTCGGGTGGGGGACTCCCACAGGAGGCGGGAGGAGGGGGCTGAAGGGCCGTGGCTTCCCAAGTGTGTCCTATGCACCCCAACTCTGAGGGCAGCCCAGGCTGTGTGCCCGGGGCAAGGCCTCTGCCTACCTCTCTGCGCCTCGCCCTCCTGTCTGTAAAAGTGAAATACCTACACAGGGAAGCCTCAAGTATAGCCGAGGCGATGCCAGCTCAGAGACGTTACGTCTCCTGTCTGTACGGAGGGGGGGGGGTGACAGTCACGGTGACTGTTACTGGTGTTTGGGAGGGTTCATGGGAGGATGTTGTGAGCTCAGTGAGGCTTCACCACCATCGCCAACACAGCAGCACAGAAACCCTCCCAGCCTCAGTCCCAGCCAGTCAGCCCCTGCTTCCGCCCACGAGCCCGGCATCCGTTATGCACAGCCTCCTCCGGGAAGGTGGGATTGGTCCTTAGCAACTTTCTCTGTCTGGGCCTCAGTTGCCCATCTGTAAAATGGGTTGTCGCCCTCACCCCGTCCCATGGGGCTGTGGTGAAGGTGAATTGAGCTCATAATTGTAAAGCGCCGGGCACGGAGTTTGTAAAAGTGAAATACCTACACAGGGAAGCCTCATGTATAGCCGAGGCGATGCCAGCTCAGAGACGTTACGTCATCACCCCAGGGGCACACAGCTGGGAAATGGCAGAGCTGGGCTTCTTGGACCCGGTGCCCTGCTATACCACCTGCCCCTGCTCTGGGGGGCCCAGCAGTCAGACCCCTGGCCTCTCCCAGGATCCCAGTCCCTCTGGGCTGCGAGGCTGGGAGACCGGGAGCCAGGCCGACTCAAACCCACCCCAGGTCTCTTTCCACCACCAGCCAGCTCCCTGTGGGGAGCCTTTGAGGAGCACTGTCAACCCGTTTCACAGCTTCCCTCAACAATATGTATTCCTGGGCGC